AAGGGTTCATGAGAAAGGGTTCATGAGAGGGGGTTCATGAGAGGGGGTTCATGAGAGGGGTTCATGAGAAAGGGTTCATGAGAGGGGGTTCATGAGAAAGGGTTCATGAGAAAGGGTTCATGAGAGGGGTTCATGAGAGGGGGTTCATGAGAAAGGGTTTCATGAGAGGGGGTTTTATGAGAAAGGGTTCATGAGAAAGGGTTCATGAGAGGGGGTTCATGAGAGGGGGTTCATGAGAGGGGGTTCATGAGAAGGGTTCATGAGAGGGGGTTCATGAGAAAGGGTTCATGAGAAAGGGTTCATGAGAGGGGTTCATGAGAGGGGGTTCATGAGAGGGGGTTCATGAGAAAGGGTTCATGAGAGGGGTTCATGAGAAAGGGTTCATGAGAGGGGGTTCATGAGAGGGGGTTCATGAGAAAGGGTTCATGAGAAAGGGTTCATGAGAAAGGGTTCATGAGAAAGGGTTCATGAGAGGGGGTTCATGAGAGGGGGTTCATGAGAGGGGGTTCATGAGAAAGGGTTCATGAGAGGGGGTTCATGAGAAAGGGTTCATGAGAAAGGGTTCATGAGAGGGGGTTCATGAGAGGGGGTTCATGAGAAAGGGTTCATGAGAGGGGGTTCATGAGAAAGGGTTCATGAGAAAGGGTTCATGAGAGGGGTTCATGAGAGGGGGTTCATGAGAGGGGGTTCATGAGAAAGGGTTCATGAGAGGGGGTTCATGAGAAAGGGTTCATGAGAAAGGGTTCATGAGAGGGGTTCATGAGAGGGGGTTCATGAGAGGGGGTTCATGAGAAAGGGTTCATGAGAGGGGGTTCATGAGAAAGGGTTTCATGAGAGGGGGTTCATGAGAAAGGGTTCATGAGAGGGGGTTCATGAGAAAGGGTTCATGAGAAAGGGTTCATGAGAGGGGGTTCATGAGAAAGGGTTCATGAGAAAGGGTTCATGAGAGGGGGTTCATGAGAAAGGGTTCATGAGAAAGGGTTCATGAGAGGGGTTCATGAGAGGGGGTTCATGAGAAAGGGGTTCATGAGAGGGGTTCATGAGAAAGGGTTCATGAGAAAGGGTTCATGAGAGGGGTTCATGAGAGGGGGTTTCATGAGAGGGGGTTCATGAGAGGGGGTTCATGAGAAAGGGTTCATGAGAGGGGGTTCATGAGAAAGGGTTCATGAGAAAGGGTTCATGAGAGGGGGTTCATGAGAGGGGTTCATGAGAGGGGGGTTCATGAGAAAGGGTTCATGAGAGGGGTTCATGAGAAAGGGTTCATGAGAAAGGGTTCATGAGAGGGGGTCATGAGAGGGGGTTCATGAGAGGGGGTTCATGAGAAAGGGTTCATGAGAGGGGGTTCATGAGAAAGGGTTCATGAGAAAGGGTTCATGAGAGGGGGTTCATGAGAGGGGGTTCATGAGAGGGGGTTCATGAGAGGGGGTTCATGAGAGGGGGTTCATGAGAAAGGGTTCATGAGAGGGGGTTCATGAGAAAGGGTTCATGAGAGGGGGTTCATGAGAGGGGGTTCATGAGAGGGGGTTCATGAGAAAGGGTTCATGAGAGGGGGTTCATGAGAAAGGGTTCATGAGAAAGGGTTCATGAGAGGGGGTTCATGAGAGGGGGTTCATGAGAGGGGGTTCATGAGAGGGGTTCATGAGAGGGGGTTCATGAGAAAGGGTTCATGAGAGGGGGTTCATGAGAAAGGGTTCATGAGAGGGGGTTCATGAGAGGAAGTTCAAAATAAAATGTTTTCTTCCTCCAGTGTTTTCGTTTATACTTGAAAACCTTAGAGCTTTTTAACGTGTGTATGTGTGTACTCACCTATTTGTGGTTGCAGGGGTCGAGTCCTAGCTCCTGGCCCCGCCTCTTCACCGGTTGCTACTAGACCCTCTCTCTCCCCGCTCCATGAGCTTTATCAAACCTCGTCTTAAAACTGTGTATGGTTCCTGCCTCCACTACGTCATTTTCTAGGCTATTCCACTGCCTTACAACTCTATGACTGAAGAAATACTTCCTACTATCTCTCTGACTCATTTGTGTCTTCAACTTCCAATTGTGGCCTCTTGTTTCTGTGTCCCCTCCCTGGAACATCCTGTCCTTGTCCACCTTGTCTATTCCACGCAGTATTTTATATGTCGTTATCATGTCTCCCCTGACCCTCCTGTCCTCCAGTGTCGTCAGGCCGATTTCCCTTAATCTTTCTTCATAGGACATTCCCCTTAGCTCTGGAACTAACCTTGTTGCAAACCTTTGTACTTTCTCTAGTTTCTTGACGTGCTTTATCAAGTGCGGGTTCCAAACAGGTGCTGCATACTCCAGTATGGGCCTGACATACACGGTGTACAGTGTCTTGATGATTCCTTACTAAGGTGTCGGAATGCTGTTCTCAGGTTTGCCAGGCGCCCATATGCTGCAGCAGTTATCTGATTGATGTGTGCTTCCGGAGACATGCTCGGTGTTATACTCACCCCAAGATCTTTCTCCTTGAGTGAGGTTTGCAGTCTTTGGCCACCTAGCCTATACTCTGTCTGTGGTCTTCTGTGCCCTTCCCCTATCTTCATGACTTTGCATTTGGCAGGATTAAATTCGAGAAGCCATTTGCTGGACCAGGTGTCCAGTCTGTCCAGGTCTCTTTGAAGTCCTGCCTGGTCCTCATCAGATTTAATCTCCTCATTAACTTCACATCATCTGCAAACAGGGACACTTCTGAGTCTAACCCTTCCGTCATGTCGTTCACATATACCAAAAATAGCACTGGTCCTAGGACCGACCCCTGTGGGACCCCGCTCGTCACAGGTGCCCACTGTGATACATCATTACGTACCATGACTCGTGTTGCCTCCCTGTCAGGTATTCTCTGATCCATTGCAGTGCCCTTCCTGTTATATGCGCCTGATGCCCTAGCTTTCTGCACTAATCTCTTGTGAGGAACTGTGTCAAAGGCCTTCTTGCAGTCCAAGAAGATGCAATCAACCCACCCCTCTCTCTCTTGTCTTACTTCTGTTATTTTATCATAAAACTCCAGAAGGTTTGTGACACAGGATTTGCCTTCCGTGAATCCGTGCTGGTTGGCATTTATACTCCTGTTCCGTTCCAGGTGCTCCACCACTCTCCTCCTGATAATCTTCTCCATAATTTTGCATACTATACACGTCAATGACACAGGTCTATAGTTTAGTGCCTCTTTTCTGTCTCCTTTTTTGGAAAATGGAACTACATTTGCTGTCTTCCATACCTCAGGTAGTTGCCCAGTTTCCAGGGATGTGTTGAAGATTGTGGTAAGTGGTACGCACAACATATCTGCTCCCTCTCTAAGGACCCATGGAGAGATGTTGTCCGGTCCCATTGCCTTTGAGGTATCGATGTCCCTTAGCAGTTTCTTCACCTCCTCCTCATCTGTATGTATGTCGTCAACACTTGTTGGTTTATTCCTTGTTGGTGTCCCCATCTGGTCTGTCCCCCCAGAGTCCTTCCTGTCTCTACTGTAAATACTTCCTTAAATCTCGTGTTGAGCTCCTCACATACCTCTTGATCGTTTCTTGTGAGTTCCCCACCTTCTTTCCTCAGCCTTACACCTGGTCCTTGACTGTTGTCTTCTTCCTAATTGTGGCTATACAGCAGTTTCGGGTCAGATTTGACTTTCGATGCTATGTCGTTTTCATACTGTCTCTGGGCCTCCCTCCTTATCTGCGCATACTCGTTTCTGGCTCTTCTACTAATCTCCTTGTTTTCCTGGGTCCTATGCCTCCTGTACCTTTTCCATTCTCTGTTGCACTTAGCTTTTGCCTCCCTACACCTTCGGGTAAACCAAGGACTCGTCTTGGTCTTCCTATTATTTCTGTTTCCCTTGGGAACAAAACTTTCCTCTGCCTCCTTGCACTTTGTTGCCACATATTCCATCATCTCGTTTACTGATTTTCCTACCATTTCTCTGTCCCACTGAACCTCCTGCAGGAAGTTTCTCATACCTGTGTAGTCCCCCCTTTTATAGTTTGTGTGTGTGTGTGTGTGTGTGTGTGTGTGTGTGTGTGTGTGTGTGTGTGTGTGTGTGTTTAATATGTATACACACATATACACATGTACACATATGCACACGTATACATACAAAAAATAAGTATATACAAAAATACCCATATGCACACAAATATAAACACACACCTATATAATTTATATACATATGAAAGTATACATATCTAAAGAAATTCATGTGCATACACATACACACACATATCCATATTTATATATTTTGCTGCATTGGAATTTTGCAACCACCTTCCACTGTTCCTTCGGCGTGCGTTGAGGTAGAAGAGGTTGGGCTTATGGACTACGGGGACACCTTTCTCGATTCGCACATAGACATAAATTCATCTAGTTTTAATGTTAGGGTCTATCATGTGTCCTTTTACAAGAGGATAAAATGTGTGATCTTCAGTAGGCTCAGTTTTACATGGCATTAAGGTAAAATCAAACCCTTCCTTCCTCCCTCAAAACCAGTCTTCACAGACACTCTGAACACTGCCGAGCTGTAACTAACAAAACTCCACAACCAACCAACAAACAAACAAACCAATCAACAAACTAACCAACCAAACCTCCCTCAAAGATGTCCCTCTTCTTTCCCCCCAAAACTTACCTCCGCCCATTACATTCCCTGAAACAGTGAAAGCAGCGCCGCGAGCCAATCATTGCTCGTATGATGCTCAGGCGTCACTACACAGTTGTGTATATATAAGCTGGTGTCCTTGGGAGGAGGTAGTGAAGCACCATCAACAACTCTTTCTCACCTCTTTACCAACTATGGCACTCACGGTAGTGAGTAATCATTACCCAGTTCTTATTTTACCCTCCAAAAATCACGTTATATAAATTATGCACATTAAATTCTTCTAAATTTGCAAAACAAAACATTTTAAAACTGCCTTCTACAATCCCTTTTCACTGTATATGTTTTAAGTCATGTAATTTATGGAGATAGATGTTTATATCTCCTGACAAAATGATTCGCACATACTCCTGATTAATAATTTACTTTGAAAGGTAGGAATTTGACTTATCTGTTACGGTTTTCCACAACCCCGTTGTTTTAATGGTGAAATTTGTCTTGCTCTATTACAGTCAATAATTATAGCCTGCGCGACGATGGTGCTGGGTTCTGGCCACCCTCCTTCCAACAGCCATCAGACAGCCTACAAGCATTTCTACTGTGACGCAACAACCACTCCTGCCTGCGCCGCCAACACCTCCCTTTCCTACTGCTTGGTAGACCCGGAGTACCCAGAGTACCTCAAGGGCGTCATTACTGCTGACCATCTCTTCGCCAAGAAGTACGCTGATGTTGCCGACCAGTCGGCTGATGACCTGGTTGAATATGTGACCAAGAAGCAGGAAGAAGGCTTTGACTACTCCTATTACACTGGTGCCTCCACTGGTAAGTCTCCCTATGATATCACCCACTGGGCTGGTCCCCAGGGTTACATCTGTCCTTCTCACGTGGCCTATGCCAGGCCCAGGCGTGCCCAGAATGTGGAGGGCCAGTGGCGTGTTATTGTGAACGATGTTCACTACTACACCCAGACGGCCCGCCTGGAGACCTGCTTGTACCCTAATGCTGCCTGCCGTGCTCTTTCTCCCTGCTACAAGAGTAGCTGTGTCCAGAAATATGCCTACCACCGCCTCCTCTCCTTTGACCCCTGCGATCACTACAAGGGTCTCTTCATCGACATCTACAAGCTGCCATCCGCCTGCTCCTGCCATATCCCCGCCTAATACTTTACCATCACTCGTATTTTCACTTGACTCCACATAAGCCTCTCGTATCTTTCTTGAGTAGCCTAATTTTTAGAACACTTATTAACCCAAATGTTAATTTGTCTCCTTTTTTTAACTTGATTCCCACTCTTGTAGTCCATATCTCTCCTCATCCTCCATCACTGCACCAGACTAGATAATTAGTCAACTCTTTCTTGTTAATAATTAGACGTCTGGGACACCCATAATTCAAGAGCTTCCCCGGGGCTCATATGAGACCGAGACCACGAGAACTACTTTCTTTACATACCACCACAACACTGTAAGTCACAGTGACTACTGACAACTTCTGCTTCCGCATAAAGTCCTCATGATAAACTGCTTTTATCTGAGACCTTCTTCCTCTGTTGTTGTTAAATAATTTGTTAAAGAATTGTTCAATATATTTTAAATAAATGATGCATGCATGTTTATAATTATTTATCCACCTTCCAGCTGAAATTACATTTTTTCCTTAATTTAACATTATATTATTATATGGTATTTCTTTTGACAAAGAAAATCAGATCCATATGAAAGATTTTTTTTAATAGAATTATCGACACCAAAAAAAAATCTAATCTTAAAAAAAAGAAGAAGACTTTCAAGTATTGCATATATCAGATAATTTTCTAGGCAAGACATTTTAATGTTTGCAATGCATTGTTGAATATCAGGTTAGCAGTTGTAATAAATTTATTGTACCCTCGTTACCCTTATTCAACTTTCCCATGACGCTTTGGAGTTTAGCACATCTGTACTGATCTACAGTGTGGCGATGAGTGAACTCAATCTCCAATCTGGAGAAATATTAACTAGGCTTAGGATGTTGGTTGGTGGTGATGGATCTGGCGATTCCCTCTTTCCTAGTGCAGCAGCGACTATGTTCACTGCCTCTCTTACACTGGGTTTCTATCCTCTGCTTACCTATTGCAGTATTGCATAGCTCCTGACGAGGCACTAGTTACAGACCGAAAGGCTTTGAGTTAGTCCATTTCATCCCCTCTGTGGTTGACTTTGCATTTGTTTGATGGCTCATTTGCGACTGTTTAGCTTAAAAACCAAGGTCGTTCTCTGCTGAATTAGCCGAGAGAAAAATTTGTTATGCCATAACTATACCAAATTCAAAGTGACACATACCATATGTTGCTTCATCGTGCGTTGAAGAGGTAAAAAGTGTTGAGACCACTTGCTCCTGTTTCTACCTGACTGTGGTAGGTCAGTACTGTTCTTAATGCAAAGTGAGATGTACAGTGATGTAATTATCATTTATCATGAGACACTGGTGAACAGTGTGTTCCTAAGTGTGGATCCCAGTCACTCAGTCTATCACTCATGCTACGATAATATTGAGGCCAAACTCGGGTACTGACAGATCAACCCACACAAACATGAGTAGGCGAGTACACACGCACGCACGCACACACACACACACACACACACACACACACACACACACACACACACACACACACACACACACACACACACACACACACACACAGAACAGCAGGAGGCCAAGGCAAGAGTACGACGAGAGCAATAGAGCGATGGTTGACACACTGGCTAGAGTGGCCAGAAGAGCTCATGCATTTCAGGGCAAAGCTCCTGATCATGGGTGACTTTAACCACAAGGAGATAGATTGGGAGAACTTGGACCCACATGGGGGCCAAGATACTTGGAGGGCTAAGATGATGGAGGTGGTACTGGAGAACTTCATGTACCAACACGTAAGGGACACTACAAGAGAGAGAGGAGAGGATGAACCAGCAAGGCTGGACTTAGTATTCACCTTCAGTAGTGCAGATATCGAGGACATCACATATGAAAGACCCTTGGGGCCAGTGACCATGTGGTTGTAAGCTTCGAATACACAGTAGAGCTACAAGTGGAGGGAGAAGCAGGAAGGCCAGGACGAATGAAGCCAAACTACAAGAAAGGGGACTACACAGGAATGAGGAACTACCTGAATGGGGTTCAGTGGGACAGAGAACTGGCAGGGAAACCAGTTAATGAGATGATGGAATATGTAGCAATAAAATGCAAGGAGGCTGAGGAGAGGTTTGTACCCAAGGGTAACAGGAGTAATGAAAAAGCCAGGATGAGCCCATGGTTTACCCAAAGGTGCAGGGAGGCCAAAAACCAAGTGTGCTAGGGAATGGAAGAAAATATAGAAGGCAAAGGACCCAGGAGAATAAGGAGAACAGTCGTAGAGCCAGAAATGAATATGCACAGATAAGAAGGGGGCCCAAAGACAATATGAAAATGACATAGCAGCGAAAGCCAAATCTGACCCGAAACTGTTGTACAGCCACATCAGGAGGAAAACAACAGTCAAGGACCAGGTAATCAGGCTAAGGAAGGAAGGAGGAGAGACAACAGGAAATGACCGGGAAGTATGCGAAGAACTCAACAAGAGATTCAAAGAAGTGTTCACAGAGGAGACAGAAGGGACTCCAGAAAGACGGAGAGGGGGGCACACCACCAAGTGCTGGACACAGTGCACACAACCGAGGAAGAAGTGAAGAGGCTTCTGAGTGAGCTAGATACCTCAAAGGCAATGGGGCCAGATAACATCTCCCCATGGGTATTGAGAGAGGGAGCAGAGGCGCTATGTGTACCCCTAACAACAATATTCAATACAATCTATCGAAACAGGAGATTGCCTGAGCATGGAAGACAGCAAATGTAGCTCCCAATCTTAAAAAAGGAGACAGACATGAAGCATTAAACTACAGACCAGTGTCACTGACATGTATAGTATGCAAAATCATGGAGAAGATTATCAGGAGAAGAGTGGTGGAACACCTAGAAAGGAATGATCTCAATCAACAGCAGCCAGCATGGTTTCAGGGACGGGAAATCCTGTGTCACAAACCTACTGGAGTTCTATGACATGGTGACAGCAGTAAGACAAGAGAGAGAGGGTGGGTGATTGCATTTTCTTGGTACTGCAAGAAGGGGCGTTTGACACAGTTCCACACAAGAGATTGGTGCAAAAAAGTAAACTGGAGGACCAAGCCAGGGATGAACAGGGAAGCACTACAATGGAATCAGGGAAACCTTGTCAGGTAGACAAGCAGCGCGTCATGTACGTGCGAGGTGTCAGAAGTGGGCACCTGTGACCACGTGGTCCCGCAGGGTCAGTCCTAGGACCAGTGCTTTTCTGTATTTGTGAACACATTACGGAAGGAATAACTCTCTGAGGTGTCCATTTGCAGATGACGTGAAGTTTGATGAGAAAAATACACTCGAACGAAGACCAGGCAGAACTACAAAGGGATCTGGAGACAGGCTGCATGGAACTGGCCAGCAATTGGCTCCTGAGTTCAATCCCACCAAAGTGCAAAGTCAATGAAGATTGGGGAAGGGCATAGAAGGCTGCAGACGGAGTACAGTCCTAGGGGTCAGAGACTACAAACCTCACTCAAGGAAAAATATCTAGGGGTGAGTATACCACCAGGCACCATCTCCTGAAGCGCTACATCAACAACCAATAACTGCTGCAGCATATGGGCGGCCTAGCAAACCTCAGAACACATTATTTCCGACATCTAATAAGGAATCGTTCAGGACCCTGTACATACCGTATACGTTAGGCCCATATTGGAGAATGCGGCACCAGTTTGGAACCCACACCTAGCCAAGCACGTAAACAACTAGAGAAAGGTCAAAGGTTTGCAACAAGACTATCCCCGAGCTAAGAGGTATGCTACGAGGAGAGGTTAACGGGAAATCACCCTGCGACACAGGGGACAGGAGAGATAGGGGGGACCATGAAACGACATACAAAATACTGAGAGAATTGACATGCCAAGGTGGACAAAAACAAGGGATGTTCCAGAGGATTGGACACAGTACCAAGGGATCACAGTTGAAGCTACAGACACAGAAAATCCACAGGGATGTAGGAAGTATTTCTACAGCCACAGAGGTAGTCAGTAAGTGGAATAGTTTGGGAAGCGATGTAGTGGAGGCAGGATCCATACATAGCTTTAAGCAAGAGGTACAAAAAGCTCACGGCTCAGAGAGTGACCTAGTAGCGATCAGTGAAGAGGCGGGGCCAGGATCTCGACTCGACCCCCGCAACCTCAACTAGGTGAGTACAACTAGGTGAGTACACACACACACACACACCACACACACCACACAACACACACACACACACACACACACACACACACACACAACTCCACACAGACCGTAACACTAACCGTGTATATATGCTAGGTCATGGAGAAGATCTCAGGAGGAGAGTGGGGGGGCACCTGGAAAAGAAACAAGTGTATAATTGACAACCAGCACGGTTTCCGGGAAGGAAAATCCTGTGTCACAAACCTACTAGAGTTTATGACAAGGGACAGAAGTAAACAGAGAGAGAGGGTGGATCGACTGCTTAATTTGGACTGCAAGAAGGCCTTCGACTCAGTTCCTCACAAGAGGTTACTGCAAAAGCTAGAGACCAGGCACACATAACAGAAAGGCACTGCAATGGATCAAGATATCCTGACAGGGAGGCAACAACGAGTCATGGTACGCGACGAGTGTCAGAGTGGGCGCCTTGACAAGCGGGTTCCACAGGGGTCAGTCCTAGGACCTTGTTTGGTTCTTGGTATCGTGAACGACAAACGGAAGGGATAACTCAGAAGTGTCCTTGTTTGCAGATGATTGAAGTGAATGAGAAGAATCAAATCGGACGAGGATCAGGCAGGACTACAAAGAACCTGGACAGGCTACAAGCCTGGTCCAGCAACTGGCTCCTTAATTTAACCCTGCCAAATGGCAACAGTCTGAAGATTGGGGAAGGGCAAAGAAGACCGCAGACACAATATAGTTTAGATGGCCAAAGACTGCAAACCTCACACAAGAAAAAAGATCTGGGGTTGAGTATAACACCGAGCACATCTGAGGCGCACATCAATCAGATAAATGCTGCAGCATACGGGCGCCTGGCAAACTACGGATAGCGTTCCGATACCTCAGTAAGGATTCGTTTAAGACTCTGTATACCATCTACGTCAGGCCAATACTGGAGTATGCAGCACCAGTTTGGAATCCACACCTAGTCAAGCACGTCAAGAAATTAGAGAAAGTGCAAAGGTTTGCAACAAGACTAGTCCCAGAGCTACGGGGATTGTCCTATGAAGAAAGGTTGAGGGAAATCGGCCTGACGACACTGGAGGCCAGGAGGGTCCAGGGGAGACATGATTAACGACATATAAAATACTGCGCGGAATAGACGAGGTGGACAAAGACGGGATGTTCCAGAGATGGGACACAGACACAAGAGGTCACAATTGGAAGTTGAAGACTCA